GAATGGAGAAACTTTTATCTTTCCGCCTGCTTGAATCTTCTTATTCGTTTTGCTATTGATTTAAACCTTTTTAATCAATTCTGAATTACACTTAATCTTATAAGTATAATCATATTTACTAAACTTTTAGTAAATCATGATGAATGTCTTGTTACTATTATGGTGGACTTTGACCATCACATAAATTTGTGTACTCGATCTCCTAGTCCTTCACTTAACACTTTGTCAATGAATTAGTCTAATTTCCAAATAGGAAATTTCTCATTCTTCGTGCAACCAAGTTGCATGATTCCAAATTTCTGTCCAATTGAAACTTGGGCGATGAGAAACTCTCCCTATTTGGTAAATTCTCGACTTTTCCATAAACACCATAAATAAGAATCATATCCATTTGTTGTAGAAATATGCAAACACCAATTTTCATAACGATTTCATTGCAAGGAAATAAACAAATAAATAAATAAGTCAAACAAAAATTTATTTTATTTATAAAAGCAGCGGAAAACATTTGTCCTTACAATGCAAAATCCATTGAAAAATATGTATTTTAAAAGGAAATTTTCTAACAACTCTATCATAACTATCTAAGCTCAAAATCTAATCTTCAAGTCTATGCGATCAAGATCCATTCCTCGTGATTAGATTCATCTTGCTCTTTCACCAAGCTTCCTTTATTTTCAACGATCCTACAAAACATTCAAATGCAATCTTATCACATCATGTATTAAGAATCAATGAATAGGAACTTAACGGTTGACTTTCCCAACAAATATGCTCCATTGCTTCGCCAAATCATTTCTGATTCAGCAGCAATGAGCATGTAGGTTAGGTCAATGGGGTTATCGTCATGATCCATCATATAATACTTTCTTTTGAACTCATTATATGATTCAGGAAGTGACTATAAAACCCAATTCACAGCCAACTCATCCGGGAATGACACACCCAACATTGTCAACCTATCAATGTGTGATTTCATTCCTAGAATGTGGGCACACATGAATTTACCATCTTCATGTTTCATTTCCAATAGGGCCTTAGTGATGTTGAACCTTTCAATTCTTCGATCTTGTGGGTTAGGGAGAACAATTGGAGGAGGAGGAGGAAGTGAAGCATGATTTCTTGTTCCTCAATCGAATCGTGGAATACAATCTTAATGTGGAATGCTTGTTGCACGGGATTTAGGAAGACCATAGTTGTCAAACTTTGACATCTACAAAACGGGAGAAAATGAATTCAAGTTAGTTGATCGATTGAGTCCTTAGTAAATCACCAAAATGAGATACTAAGGCTAGGACCCAACACAATACGCTACAACCTAGAAAAGGGATTCCGTAATCTAGTTGCAGAATATTTGAAGGTAAATGAATGACGATTCACTAATTTCCACCATGAAAAACGAAAAAGAAATTTAAGTTTTAAATCTATGAAAACTCCTAGATCCTTTGAGATTCATTGAACATTTCAATGGCATGTTTAAATCTCGATATGCCCCTCTAGTTTGTGACTGGGATGCCAAGGATCACAAAGCGGGTGTGAATAACCATGCAAACTTACATGGTGCCCTCACATGTTACAGTCACCTATTCGATGTGCCGGTAAACCACTCACGCTCCACCGAACTATGACAAACATTGAGTCACCCTTTGCTACCTTTGCTTAGAACCATTTAGTGTGCTGGTAAACCACACACGCTCCACTAACGTCTTCGCAGGGGCACAAAGTGTAATTTCATGGAATTGCATCAATTCACTTTGCCTAAGTAACTAAGATTGGGAATTTGAAAAACATGTAGTTCCTTTAGAAATTCATTATACTTATAATAGAAGGCTTCGTCTTATCCTACCCGTTCGGTTAACGACCTTCCACTAGTCAAGAGTGCGGTGGGTAAGAGTGGATACCCATTCAATCACCATATTATAGGCAATTTCCTTAAACACCCCTTATAGACCAGCTTCGTGAATGAGGCCTACTAACGGTAAGACTGACTTTTACTCATACATATATATAATGTTATACTTTTAATGTTATATATAGTATAGGGTGTATTTTACACTTTTAAAATACTATGTGGTCTAATTTAACAATTATACTTTTAATTCAATTAAATTGAAAACCTAAACTTTTATGGATTTATTAAACCTCTTATAATTATACACCTTAATTAATTAATAAAACCATAAGGGTGTGATTTGAACTTTTTCAAAACAATACTAGGGTCTTAGAATTTAATATTCCTAATTAAACTGTTAATCAACTTTTAAATTCCAAAACCTGAAGGCAAGTTTTGAAACATTTCAAAACATTAGGGTTTAGAATTTAAACATACATCAAAATTAAACTTTTAATCAAAATTTAAATTCCAAAACTTGAGGGCAAGTTTTGAAACCTTTTTCAAAACATTAGGGTTTCAACTATTTAAATTTCAAAACAACAAAACTTTTGGGTTCAAATTTAAACTATAAAACCTAAAGGGGAAAATATAAAACTTTTCATAACAACAAGGATCAAATAAAAAATAATCTAAATTAACATTTAATCACATAATTATCCATATTTGATTTATTTTATGATTTCTTGCAAAACAATTTACCAATTTAATCAAAATAATTAATCAATTATCACATAAGGAAACAAATATTTTATTAATTGATAAATATCTTCAATTAGATCAAGAATATACTCATATATATCATAAAATCGGATTTATATTGATCTAATATGATAAAGGAAAGTATCTCAAAGATAAACAGCAAGAAATCCCAAAAATAGCTCAATCTGACGCTCGAACTCGCTGAGTACCCCCATGGACTCGCCGAGTAGGGGGCAACTCGCCGAGTCCACAGTGGGACTCGCCGAGTCCGTCATGCAGAACCACAAAAATCGAATTTTTTCAATATACAAGGCATCAATACAATAGAAACCAATCTAGGCTCTGATACCACTGATGGGTTTCGGTCATAAGAACATCCTATGTGCTCATACAAACCCTAATGCTTGGATCTAGGTTTCTCTATTGTACATGCAAGTTATCCAAGACTATAAACCCTAATTCTAGCATTCAAGTAATCATATTAACATGAGAATAGGTTTAAGATCATACCTTGATTGTTATGTAGAAATAACAATCCTAAATCTCCTTATATTGACTTTAGAAAGCTTAGAGTCACAAATGTCACTCCTCTAATGGTTCATAGACACCATAAGCAAGAGGATGAAGAGGAGAGAGGATGGAGGCTGTCCCAAAAACGTGTGAAACCCTAGAACAAAGCTTAGCCACGTTTTTGGTCCTTATGGGGTCTATATACAGTGAGGCTATTAGGGTTATCTAACAAGGAAACCCTAATTTGGATGCTTAAGCCCTAAGTAACCCATGGACTCCTTTCCTTAAGGCCTTGGACGATTTCCCCATAGGTTTCCCCATAGAATTCGTCCACTCCTCAATATAAGACAATCCATGGCCCAAATTTCAATTATCTTATAATTACAATTCCAGTCCCTTAAGTTTAATTAATCTCTTTTAGTCACAAAACTAATTACCAATTGATTCTTGACTAATATTAATTAAGCAATATGATTTCTCCTTTAATATATTATTCTCATAATATATTAATAAATCTTATTTAATCCTTTCTCTCCATAATTCATCCTATCAAGTTGCTTTGGTGAAGGCAACCGAAAAGGACCATGCACCATCGGGTCAAGTACATACCAAAATAGTTATGGACTTAGACACTAATCCAACAAATGTAAGACTACATTCATTATGGTATCATTCACTTCTTTGTGGTGAATTCAGTAGCGATGGGTAGCCAACCTATCATGATCGGATGGATCAGAAGGATTAGATGATCCATGAGTGGCAATATAGTTAGGGCAGTTATTGTCGGATGAGGTATCCTTCAGAGGCCTCGTGGGACTGCTGGGTGTGTTTTGGCTCATCAATCGGTCAGATGTCCATTGTTTCGAGGGATTATCTAGCTTTGGTTAGGTATAAGTGTACGACAGGGAAATTTGGTTTGTGACTCTAATTTCTAGTGGGAACCTCAGGTTATCAGAAGTTGTGTAGCCAATTGGGAGATACGTGTAATGAATTCGACAATGATTTAGTTCGGGCGGTTTGTTAGGGAGACAGACCCTCTCGAGACTCCGGAATTCGGACTGAGTAGATATGATCTTGTTGCAGAAAATCCATTCATCTTCGGGTTCTAGAACCTTGCAAGGGTTGGTCACGGTTACCCTGGGAAGGCTAGGGTGTGCCCAGGATTGTGACCATGTCGCCCAAGTTGTCGGAGGTGTAAGGGATGATACGGAATGATTTCGAGGACGGAATATAATTCAAGTGGGGGAGAGTTGTAACATTTTGTTTATTTAATAAATAAATAGATAAAAATTGATGAACGAATAGTCGCAATAAATCCATATTATTTAGTGGATTGTCGGTTTTGGGGAGCCGAATGTTATAATTTGGATTATTCGGGGGTTAAAGTGTAATTTCGGGACTTGTTTCGCAAAGGATTCTAGATGTCAGGGGGTGTTTGGCATTATTGGGACTTAATATGTAAGGATTTATGGAGGCATGGGTTGATTGGTAACATTTTGGACTTTATTTGTAAAGGGTTTCAGGAGGCATGGTAAAAATGGTAAAAAATGGATTTACTTTGAAAGAAATGTGGGAAGAGAAGGGCTAAACTTGTCATTATGGGAATGAGTTTGGTTGGTGACGAGTATATAAACTAATGAAACCCTAACCCTAGCAAAACTTCCACAGCCGTCACCCACCCTTATGCCTCCCACCGGCCGCCACCCTCTCCACCTTCCTCTCTACCTCCAGACATCGTTGTCGGCTCTGCCCACCTATCACCGTTGAACGACCCTTGTCAGCGCAATAGTGAACACCGATGGAAACTGGGGAAAGGACGTTGCAACAATTGAATATTTAGAGAATGATTTGGTGTCGTGGGTGCCGCCGATTCATGACTTCCTAGCCGCCATTGAAGATGGAGATCATCGGAGCCAACCCTTCTACGTCAGAAGCTGCTGTTGTGGACCATCGCTGCTGTTCGTCGGGCAATTGTGATCGCCACCTCTCTTCTCTCTTTCTTGCTGCCGGCGTTACCACGTTTCACGGTGGTCTCTTCTCAGTCACGACCACCGCTGCCATTTGGCTCGGTTCTGTTACTCAAGTTGTTGTTCCATCCACTACAACTACCACCATCTCGCGCCATCTCTGCTTCTTCTGTTTCACAATCATGGGATTGTCCAGTTGCCGCCTCCCTCCGACAGTGAGGTTGCTGCTCTGTGGGTATATGAGTCCCAATGTGCGGGTGTTAGTCTCAACCCATGTTGCATGTGAGGATGTGTTTATATGGCCGAAAAACAGAGAAGATAACCACCATGGCCACCAACCATGGTGGCTACCGCCATGTACCACCGCCGGCCACCAGTGGGTGGCTGTGTGTATGTTTATGTTAGTTAGTATGTGTGGTTATTTTAGGATTAAAGCATTGTAATTGTAATTAGCAAAAGAATAAAGTAAAGAAACTCAAAAACCACCACCTTGAGGTGGTGGCTGCCACCTCCCGCCTCCACCGACCGCCGTGTTGGGTGGCAGTATGCTTTGCCTTGTCGTGTTTGATTCGGTTGGGATGCTTGAAACCCTAATGGGCCCAATGAATCCCCAATGGGCCTAATGAACCTGAATTGATCAAAGGACCTAGTATTGGGCCTATTGGGCTAAGTTGGGTTGGAAACCCTAACTACGGTTTGGAAAACCCTAATGTCATGAAACCCTAATTGAGGATTTATCGAGAACGCATTGGGATTATTTAATGAACTTAAAATATTAACTAATAATCATTGGCAATTTAACCTAAAGGCAATATAAGACTTAATGGATTAAGTCCTTAATGGCTTATGTAGGAACACTTAACCCTAATCGACATAATTGTGAAAAACCCTAATTGGGTTTGGATGCTTGTTTGACCATTTATTGGATTAAGTTGCTGTTGGCCTTTGTGGGTCAATTGGGAACACATTTATAGGGAAACTATTAGGTTTCATGATAATACCCATTAAAGGAGGATTGGGTCCCAATTTGGAAAATTAGGCCATAAGAGGGACATATTTGGGCCTTGAGGATTATTAGCTATTGGGCCATCAAAATGTCAATTGTTTGGACTAGAATAATTGGTTGGGCCTTAAAATAGGTCCATGTAAAGGTTTGGGCCCAATTTGGAAAATTGGGCCATATGTTGGGCTTTGGTCTATGGTTTGACTTTTGGGCAATTAGATTGGGCCTTGGACTGAATAAAACTAAGTTAGGGGGAAGTAGTCTGTTACCCCAAGTATTGAGTTGTGGTTATGCATTGGAACCCAATTATTAATTGGGTATTGTTTGATGTTGGCAGTGCGGGAATCTGTCCACCACCAGCTGGAACTTCATCTGTGAGGCTTCAACAGTGCCAGGTGAGTCTCCTCACCATACAAATGGGTCTAAGGCACCAATGGCGACCTATTTTATGATATGTGAAACGCTAGCTGAAGTTATATTATGTGTCATGTGGCTGGTTATGTGATAGGGAGTATATTAGTGATTATGTGGTATGCTAATTGATTTTGTGGTACGTGATATGCTAGTGGTCTTTGTGATACTTGCATGGAAGACCTCAGGGGGTTCCCAGGGCACTTAGGTGTAAGACCTTGGAGGGTTTCCTTGGCATCCTAGGTCAAGACCTCGGGGGGTTCCCGAGGCACTTATGTGTAAGACCTTGGAGGGTTTTCTTGGCATCCTAGGTCAAGACCTCGGGGGGTTCCAGACGCACTTAGGTGTAAGACCATGGAGGGTTTCCTTGGCATCCTAGGTTGTGACATCCCCAATTTCGCGGTCAGAAAAGACCGATTTGTTTATGCTTTGTTTTAAAATCAGAGTAATCCTTTTTAAGGAAAACAGTTGCGGAATTTGTTCCCAAAATAAAATATGATACAATAAAATTTATCAAAGCATTTCTTAAAGAAATGTATTTTCATTAAATAACAAAATCTCGGGATGTCATGTTCCGATACAGACCAAAAGCATAAACAGTATAAAATAGACCTTACAACAGTTATTTATAAGTAATGATCTATAATCGAAAATCTCTCGTCAAGTCCACCAATTTATACCCTTGTGCCATTACCTGTAATGCAAAGAAAACTGAGTGGGTCAGGCTTGGGAGCCTGGTGAGCATATAGGGTTTTCAACCCAGAATAATATAATTATTATATTCAATCATCAAACAATCAACCCAATTACCCATCCTCATTATCTTCATTTATTCTTAAGTACCCTTCCTAAGGAATTATCCTAAGGGTCATCTCCTACATCGTGTTTACCTCTCATCTTCTTACATCACATTTCCTTTATATATATTCGTTCCTAAAGCATGAATACGCAGTCACAACATCGCCTGGACTCGTAACTCATAGTAAGGGTTAGGCTATCATCGCATGAATACGTAGTCACAACATCGTCTGGACTCGTAATTCATTGTAAGGGTTAGGCTATCATCGCATGAATACGTAGTCACAACATTTCCTGGACTCGTAATTAATTGTAAGGGTTAGAGTATCATCGCATGAATACGTAGTTACAACATCGCCTGAACTCGTAATTCATCACCTACAGGTTATGAGCCTGCTGGTGTTTCCACGGGGTCATCTAGAATAGTCCGTGGTCACCATCTATACTCTGGTAGATGACTACATCGCCAAATTCCCACATCGTCGGTCAAGGTTATGGTATCTCCTCTCATCTCACATCACTTATTTATCATCACCTATCTATCATCACTTAATTATCATCACCTTTCTATCATCACATATCTCTCATCACCTAATTATCGTCACCTATTTCTCATCACCTAATTATCATCACCTATTTCTCATCACCTAATTATCATCACACATCATCTAATTCATCTACCCATGTTCTACCCAACAGATTTGTAGATATAAAATACATATACAGCTTAACTCATTAACACCTATATAAAACATCCATTCCACACTCATCTCAAATAAACAACAATATATAAACACATAGCACGTATTTCATAGCAAATACTTAGTATATATATGTTAGAAGAAAGTGATCACATACTCACCCAAAACATATACTTAATACATTCACACAATACTTGTATTAAAATTGTGTTATGAAGGGACTATATACTCACACGTATAAGCAACTTTATATCATACACATAGCACGTATTTTATAAAATAATTCATATTTATGTGTAAGATTAAAGTTACTATACACTCACTTGATCATAAGATGATCAGACAGCACTACGACTTGCAGAAGTAGTATTCTTCGATAGATCTGGAAGATCTTCACACACCGGGCTTCTCGCAGGCAGAGCTTTGGCTCGGAAACTCTTTTCTTCTCGGGATCTTCGGGCTTCAGGACTCACTTCGGGTCTCGGGATGATACCGGGGCTTCGGGAGTACTTCTTTGCATGTAAATCGAGGTAGAACGGGAGAGAGAGGAGAGAAAATAGCAACTCTAAACGGCTGGCCCTTCAAATCTATTTATAGGGCAAAAATTTTCCTTGCCACGTCGTGACACCTTTTTCCACATCGTGGGCTTGGTCGTCACTGCATGCGTCATCGCAAGTTGCGTCTGGGGGACTCCAGAAGGTGTCAGAAGACTTGCCACGTCGTGGCACTACTTGCGACGTCGTGGTATCTGACAGTTTTGGGGTTTCATGCCCCGAACTTCAGAAATTCATAACTTTCGCATACGAACTCAGTTTTCGACGTTCTTTATATCGACGTGTATGTGAGATTATGATCTACAAATCTCATTTAGACTCCGTTGGCTAATTTTGACTTTATTTTTAATATATTATAAATATATTACTTATATATTATTTTTAGTAGGCCGGGACAAGAAAACTCCGTTATAAATTCATACATTCTTCATCCGACGTCCATTTTCGCCTATCATTTTATCGTTTCACTACTATTAACGATATCTTTGATTCTCGTTTTGATTGTTTCGGCTAAAAATCACTCGATCTCAAATCGAGTATTCAGGCTGCATACTGCTATGTCGAAACTTCAGAAAAATCATAACTTCCTCATACAAAGTCATATTTGGGCGTTCTTTTTATGCATGCTCTCGGTTTAACGTATTCTACGACTTTCATTTAGATCGCTAAGGCCAAATATCGCTTTAACGTAAATTCACTATTTACGTCGCGCTACGTCGTGCCGGTTCTTTCGCGAAACTTCGATAGGTCATAGCTTCTTAGTTATAACTCGGATTTCGGCGTTCTTTATATGTACGGAATCCTTATAACATATACTATAACTTAGTTAAGCTTAATCATTCTAAATAATCTTCCATCAAAAAGTCATTTTTGATGCTTATCGTCTCTAAATTGACTAGTCATGATCTATGGGCGTTACATAGGTCAAAGACCTCGGGAGGTTCTCGAGGCATTGGGCTAAGACCATGTGGGGGTTCCCATGGCACCCGGTGTAAGACCTTGGAGGGTTTCCAGGGCTTCCCTATATGTTTATATGCATGGTTGGTGTAGTTAATATGATTTACTTGAGTTTGTGAATAAAACCTTGGAGGGTTTCCATGTCATCTTCATATGTGTATATATATGCTTATGTGATTGTTACGGTTTATGTAGTTGTTATAGCTGATATGAATTATATGGTTATTTGGATTGTGTGACGTATGTTCTAGGGAACTCACTAAGCTTTATGCTTACAGTTTTGTTTATGGTTTCAGATATCATCGATTTGGAAAAGAAGGACTTAGATTGATTGCAGTGCACACACCTATGATTTATGCAATGAATGATTTTGGGATAATCTCTGATAAATATTTTACTTAATAATGATTTGAAATATTTGAAATAAATGGTATTAATGCTATAGGTACATTTAAAAATGGAAATTTTTTTACCCTTGATTTTTGGGTCGTTACATAGTAAAAGATTTGTAAACCATAAAAACAAGTATAAATAATCAAAGCAAAAAATAATTAGTAATAACATAATTTTATATATTTTAGATAATTGATTTTAAAAAATAAAAATAACTTTATAAATAATCTATATTAATTCTATTAAAATAAAAATCAAAAACAATAATATATATATATATATATATATATATATATATATATATATATATATATATATATATATATATATATATATATAGGGTTAGGTTCATGTGAGACGACCTAATTTTGTGAGACCGTGAGATGCCTTTTTTTATTTTTATTTTTATTTTAATTTTTTTTAGTTAATTCAAGTTCTGAAAATAATATTTAAAAAAAGAATTTTTTTTGATTTTTCCATTTATTTTGCATTTTAAAATTATTTTTAGAATATGTACAGTGTAATATTCTATTTAGAATATTTCATGTATTTTTCAAAAAAAAAAAATAGGATTTTTTTTTATTTTTTTTAGTTAATTCAAGTTCCGAAAATAATATTTAAAAACA